AACGAACTGGAACTCTGGGACATTGGGAGAAAGGGTAGCCCCTGTCGGGGATGCAGGGCTTGCACCATCATCCCTGATTTTGTCCTTCTTCTTCAACAGGTCTTTGAGCGTCATGGTGTCGCGCAAATTGCCTCTTCTCGTGTCGGGCTTCGCGTTGCCAGCGCAGGCAAGGGGCTACGCGGCAGGAGACCTAGTATCGTTCGAGAACAGCTTCGCCAAAATTAGAGCGTGCCGTGCTTTCCCACTATTCAATCTTCAGGGTATTCTTATATCTTCGCAAAATCATCGTAAATGTGGCAGAGTCGCACATTATGCTGGCGCGGGCTGTCGAATTGTAAGGCACGACGGACAGTAGGATGGAGGCTAAGCAGTAGTTCCAGCCCGCCTCAGCCTCCACACGGCATTGCCCCTGCAGCCTGTCAGACCCTACACAGTGAGCACTTGCAACGCTAAGCATACGCAAAAACAACATCATCTCTACCGTTATGCCACCAAATACGCTCCCGGAGCACATGGAAACCATGTGCATCTTCATGTATGCCTGGGCAAAGCAACTTCTGGACTTTTAGAGCTTCAAGTCCCAGCCGTTGCCACATCCAGCGCTATCCATGCGTCGCCGTTATGCCTACTGCGTATGTACGCAATCCAGTTGCTTACAGCCGCCACCTTTATGAATACAACCCGGCGAACACCTGCAGCGTATATGCGGCGTATATCACATACAAACGCCATAGTAATATGTCATCCCGCAGATCTCTCAGCACTTCAATATCCAATCATTCACAATTTCTAAATTGGCAAACAGAGCATATTCGCATTCTTTCAATTCTTTTTCTCGTTGCATGTGTTTTACTGTCTTCTTCTTCTTTCTTTCTTTTTTCTATTCGTTCAAACATGTGCATAGGGTACAGCCCCTTGAAAAGAAACGAAAAGACAGCATAGAAAATCGCACGAAGGGGTATCACCGAAAAGAACCCTGAAAGACCAAGGCCATCCCTAAACAGTCAAGACGAGCTGAACGCCATCAGGACGAAAACCTACCAGGCTATGAGATACACAAACTTGAGACTTGAGAAGAAACAATTAGGGTGATCCATACTGGAAACAGAGCAAGGGAAAACATACAATATCCAGGCATCACCAGATCTTGCTTACTGGTCTGCATCGAAGGGAACAAAGTCTGCCTGCTGTGTGAACTGACGAGGCTCATGGTCAGCGCCGGCCTTTGGTGTAATCTGCTCCAAGTTATCCTCGACAGTCACCATATCCTCGGGGGTCCTAGAACGATTAGGCGTATTCGACGAAGGAGAGCCTGCTGGTGAAGAGAGACGCGTAGTCTTTCTCATTCGAGAGGCACGGCGAACATGTCCCAGACGGCACTCATCGCCGTAGCGACATGTTCCTGTGTTGGCAAAACTAGGGCACTCATGTGCATGTAGTTCGGCGCATTTGTCTCCTTTCTCACAGTAGCCCAGGTTTCCAAACGCTTCGCAGTTTAGCGCAGCGGGATTGGTGCGAACATGAGCGAAGCGACAGCCGTCGTTAGCACATCGACCAGCTTGGAAATGCAGGCAAGTAGGCGCATTGTGTGGCGAGGCCTCGTGTGATAGAGAGCACTGCTCTCCCATAGGACAGGCATCTTTGTAGAACCAGCGTTTGCACACAGCTTGCTTGTCTGGATCATGGACGTAAGGACACCCATGCCGTGAACACACACCTATCGATACGTTAGAGACAAAAAGGAAAATAAAAAGGAAAGATGCCGAAAGTGTCGTTTCGTGGAAATACCTGCGGAAGTAAACGTGCGACAGAGATCCCGGAGCTCCGATGAATGATCGTTTGTCGGGGCCGTGCTGTTTGGTGGCAGTGGGCTTTCACTACCGCTTGCCTCTCGAGACTTGGTCGCGTCTATGTGCTTGTGTGTAGTCGGGCGCTGGTATGGATGGTAGGGTTTGTTGGCGAAACCATGACCATAGCCACCTCGCTTTCGATGAAATGCGCTGTGGTACGGATTGGCAGAATATCCTCTGGCCTGTGCATTCTCGCGCTCTTCTTTCTCTTTCTTCAGGCGCGCAATATAACCTATCGTCAGACTGTCAACATCTTGCGCTCATGTTCCACCTATTTCGCGCTTGTCTGTACGCCTCTCCCACATACTCTTGAGCTCTGCATAGGCGCGTATTCGTTCCTCCTGTGAGGTCATCGCAGTAATTTGTTCGTGTGTGTACGGCGGGGGCCCCGGTGGTGCCATATTGTTGTCGCTTGATCGGTTAGCAATGTACGATAGCAGTTGGTAGGCGGGCGACGGTCTGCGACGGCAAGTAGATTGAGGTTGTCGAAGGGGAAAAGCAGCGGGGCAACAAAGAATAATATAGTACTACGGTGAGGCAGCGCCCATACTTGGCAGGGTCCAGGTCACGTGCCGGTTTCATCATATTTATATTCACTACCTGACAAATACATCAATGCCAAGAAGAAGTATCATCTATTAGTCTCACCACACTTTTCAGACAGTGCTGATTTTCTTCAGGTGTAGAGGGGGAGTTGTTATATAGTCACAGGGTAATGTAGTTAGAAAAAATAAACATACGCGGTTGCTGGGCTCGCAGCGAGCATCCCCTGTCGATTTTATTCTTAGCAACACCCTTCATGTGAAAGCCATAATGGTTCTTTTCTTTAAGCACAGGTTAGTTATTGGTAGCAATTGTCAAGTTGCTATCCATATAGACATTGATTACAGGTGACTTCTACATAACCCTTGTCATGCAAGACAAGACAGAAAAGCACCAAGAGCACCGACTCGTCTCGGTATGTGATAAGTTATAGATAAACGCCGTCATGCAAAGAGAGCTTCTGAGCCCTAGTCCCAATAACGCCGGAAGAATGCTGTGACCCTAGACGCCATCCCGCTGTGAATGTTCCATTTCCCCTCATGAACCAGTACCAAATGTTCAGACCGCGTTACAAGGCGGATAATTACGGAGAAATGCCCTGTTTATTATTCATCCGCTTCCTCGTTCAACTGCTTACGTTTGATAGCAAGGTCTGCCTTCTGCTTGTCGATCTGATTCTGCACACGTTTCTTGAAGAGGACATTGGTTTGTCGGTCGCGCTGCTCTGTACTCTGAATAATGGCCTTCTCCAGCTCTGCGATTTCAGTTCGGAGCTGTTCTTGACGCTGCTCCTCAGCTGCGGCGACTTCATCTACTTCGTCGCCATCCTCGTCAGAGTCCGCATCATCGTCGTCATCATCATCGTCGGCAGAAGTGGCTGCTGCAGGTGTCGAGGCCGCAGTCTCGGGCTCGATAGTTATGTTGCCATTATGGCTAAGAGCATGCATGGCGACATCATGAGCGGTCGTGGGGGTACCGACTTGCTCGACTTGGACATTGCCCGAGTTTGCAAGCAATGCATTAAGCTGGTCATTGTCGCCAGTGAACTCGACTTCGTCATCCATGAGACCCTCTGCAAGCATCTGCTCAAGATCGTTGGCGTCCATCTCTTCTGCTTGTGAGGCGTCAACCATTTCCTCGTCGGCCTCTTCTTCCGAGCTTGACTCCTCTTCCGAACTCTCTGCATCGCTGTCTATCATCTCATATTTTGTAGACACTGCATTTTCGTCCTCGGCCAGCAGTCGGTTCATCTGCGCTTCGGCTCGCTCGACATCGATGTATGATTTTCGAGGGCGGAAACGTCGCTTGCGGGCCCATTTCATGGGCGGTGTCAGGCCATGAGGGAAACGGTGAGTATCTGGGGAGATGTAGGACGGCAGTGGATATTTCTTTGCCTCTTCCTCATTCTTAACCTCGTCGAGGACTAAGAGCATCTGGCAGACATCCGCAGTCTTGACCCAGTCCTTTTTGTTCCAGCTCTTCAGAGATTCAATGACAGCAGGTAGCTCAACCATGGTCGCGGCGTACATGCGGTTCTGTATCGTAAGCATGGCGCGGCGGCCCTCGCGATCAAAAAAGCGAAAGTGTACACCAGGACCGCCTTGTGATACGCTCTTCCCGATTGTCTTTTCTTCAATAGACTTGCGCAGTAGGTCGCAGTCTGGGCCAGGCTTCATCCGCAACACAAACTGGGACTCAATGGCTGGATCGGCTTCTGCTTCCTCAGCCTCGCTGTCATATCCGACACCATATGGCCTTACTGGCGGCTTTCCTGCGCCCTTGACTTTCAGGATCGCCGTACTTCGGGTTGGGGCATTTGCATTCAGACTGCCCTTTGGCTTTATGGATAACTTGATAGACTGGGTGCGGTTGTGCGTCTTCAGTGGAGGGGGCGGCTGCTCGACGGCTCCGAGGTTATCGTCGTCGTCGCTGTCGTTAGTCATGGCAAGACTCTTCGCAGTAGGCTTTGGCTTGCGCTTGAGAGCAGGTGAGTCAACATGTTCACCCTCGTCGCGCGCCCTCTTCTTAGGACCGGGCTTTCCTGGGGGAATGGCATTGCCGCTTTCATCGACCTTTGGCTTTTTGGTGTATTTGCGCTTGATCTTTGTTGCATCGCCATTCCCTGGATCTGCTGGATCGCTAGGGGTAGGCGGCGCGATTTTGAACTTGAGCTTCGGGGGTGGCTTCGCGGCAGCCGGTGCAGGCGCGTCGGATGGGGGAGGCGCTGCGGGCGCATCGCTGGAAGCGGCGTCGGGGTTTTTGAGTTTGAGCTTCATCTTGGGCGACGGTGCGGATTATTTCGTCGGTTACGATGACAGGAAAAGGACATGCACCTGCGGGCGCGTCATTTGCGGGATGTGCAAATGTGTACAGGCTGGAGAGGGCGGATGGGCGACGGTGGTGATGCGTCGAGGGTCGTCTTGGCGAGCTGCGAAGGTGAAGGGCCAAAGCTTCCAACCCGCGTACCTTCACTCTATCGACACTGACTCTCTTCTCAGCCTGACCACAATGCGCCTGTTCCCACCGTAACATCCACCTCGTCACTGGACCTCTGCATCGATTCTTGTTTCTTCCACACACCACGTATACGCGCACACACGTACAAGCATGTCCCAAAACGATCTCTTCCTCAGTTTACTGCGGCCCGCCGTCCTCCACATTCTGCGCGCGACGGGTTTCCAACATGGCAAGCCCTCAGCCGTCGATACTATCGTCGACTTAACAGCGCGGTATCTATCTGTCCTGGCTGAGCGAACAGCATACAATGCCTACTCAAACCACAACGACCTCATACCAAACATCACCGACGTGCGCATGGCCATGCAGGATTGCGCACTCCTTGTGCCGACCATGACAGCCGGAGAAGAATTGTGGAAGGAAATACTACGGAAGCCGCTCGAAGAGTACAATGCCGAGACAGGCGCACGCGAGAACGAAGCGGCACGACGTGACGCCGAAGATACCGCAGACATTACTGAGTTTATTGAATGGGTCAAGGGCGAGCAGAACAAGGAGATTCGACGCATCGCAGGCACATACAAGCCGGTTCCAACGAATCCGACCGAGCAGCTTGACCAGGAGGAAATGGAGGATTATCTGAACAGTACGTTGCATGTGTTGTTGTAATATTTCCTGGAAATGCTAATTGCGCCTAGCTCTCATGAAGAAGCACAGCAAAACCGGAGTCGAATCGCGTTTCCAAGGGACAGTCTTAGGCGTTCCCGCCGAGCCAAAGACTATCAAGATTGAGGGAGGAGCTGCCGACTCGATAGAAGAATGGTGTCGCAAAACGCGCGAGAGAGCAGCCAAAGAAGCGGAATCAAAACAAGATAATCACAATCCCTCAAATCACGTTGAAACAAGAGAGGCTTCAGAGGATGTAGTAATGGAGATGGAATGAAACCTATTGATTGATCATGGAAGCATAGCGAAGGCGTTTGGTCACATCATTTTCTGGCGTTTTGGATGGTCGGGACTTGGAAGCAGATGGAAGCAGCTTTTTTGGGCATTCCTGTTTCGCTATTATCATGTTTATTTCTCGGGCTCGGTATAGGCGCGTGTGCCCAAATAGCACAAACATACGCTTCAACGCCACCAACGAATCGAGCGTACATTACTGTTAATTTGGTAAAAATCAGATAAAATAATGACTACGTGAAAAAGAAAGCATACAGTAACCTGATGTGGTATATGTGGATATGAACTTATGACGTACATGTCTAGCGGAGTTGGTCGTTCCAACAAGCCGAGTCGCAATGCAGCACCGCAATAAACCCACCCACGCTTGATACTAGATTACTACATGCAAAGACTAAAACACGGCCTATGTACAGATTAGTTTCCCACGCATCCAAACTAGGCACCGCATTGGTGGGGCTTGAAATGAATGACGGACGCGCCCCGCAGACGTCATAGCAATGACCAGGTGAACCAAAACAATCGTCTCAACCTCTTCCACTCAACCAATTCCCTTCTCCATTCACATAAAAAAACCCATAAACCCTCAAACCCCATAACACAAACAACTCTTAATCCTCTAAAATCCAATCCCAACACACAAAAAAAACATCAACAATGTCCGCCCTCTCCCCCACCGCCCCCTCGCAACCCACTACATCCCAAGCCTACACCACCCCCGGCAACCCCACAGAAAAGACACCCCAGGAACAATCCGAATCCTTCAATGCCTCTGACAACGCCGCTTTCGCCGACCAACGCATCCCCACAAAACAAGCGACGCACGAGCAAGGCCTTCAAAACGCAAAGTTCGAAGAGGGAAAAGGCGTCCACGGCGCACCGGCTGGCGAGGAAAGCAAAGGACTTAGTGAAGAAGATGTAGGACGACACAAGGAGCTGGATGGGCAGCAGATGGCTATGCCGGGAGAAGGAAGGGTGGCGGATGCGGTGGCGAAGAAGGGGGTGGGATTGGGGGGTGGAGGTGCGCAGCCGGGGTTGGAAAGTGATTTGGATAGGTAAGTTTTCCTCATTTTTGAAGTGTATAGAGGGATAAAGGAAAGGAGGATTTGGCTAACGGATTTTTCTTTTTTTTACAGGAAGAAAGCAGAGCAGGCGGAGGCGAGGGAAGCGATTAAGGCGGAGAAAGCGCAGGCTACGTCCCAGGGCGGTGCGTTGGGACAGACGGGCGGACCGGCGAATCCAGTGGATAATGCTACGCAGGGAGGAGGCAATTATCCTAATTCTAGCTACTAGATCTGCGTGAGTAGGATGATTTATGATAGACACGGCTGGGTGAAAGATAATCACATGGTTGATCACGCTTTTTTTGAGTAATTGAGCAGTGTATAGTTAGATGTGTATTTTGAATCAAAACATACAGAACCGAGGCTGAATAAAGAAATTATTTTCATAAGAATGTACATGTTATAGAGACAGGTATGGCAGCGCTGTTGCAGTCTACACATGTACCGATACATCAGTAAGCTATGAGCGACGAGGCGATTTCATTCAGAGAAAAAAAGGGGAAAGTCAATGAGGAACACGACCGAAAACAGACAAAATAACAATATTTGTTTGAATTTCATCCATTGCCCCCATAGAGCTCAAGAAGAGCCATGGGAAACAACATAGTATTAACCATCCCATCCATCCACTGCTGTTGAACAAGTTCCAGCATCTATATGCACATACATATACGACCTGCACTGGTCCCCTCTAGTCTCAACCAACATGTGCAACGTGAACGTTATAAACAAAAACGGCGAGGGCTGCCTCGCGCACTGTCCTGATTCGTAGAAAACAAAAGACAAGAAACAAGAAACAAAACGCCGCCGATGCGAACCTACCGCAGCTCTCTGCGCTCCATAGAAGTCGCGGCTGGTGGTCACAGTCATCGAAACGCCAAACGGAAAAGTCCTGAGAATGAGAGAAGAAAGACCAGGAAGAAAAAGAAGCAAAAAAACATTATGTACATCAACAAGACCCCTAGCCCTGTGACTAGAAAAGGCAACGATTATCGACATGTAGACAAGGGGTGAGAAAGGGGGACAAGAACAAGGGGTATGGGCACCTCGTCTAAGAACCCATGTTGTACGTGTCGAACTGAAAGTTGTTCATGTCGGCTTGGGGGGCAAGGCTGGGGTCGAAAAAGGCCGTGTTATCGAACACCATTGGCTCACTTGCATGCATAGTCATACTGTAGTCCACAAACTGATTTGGGTCTACAGGGACTTGGTTCATCAGTGGCATGGGTAGAGACTGTTGCGGTACAGGGTACTGGGCAGCAACAGCAACAGTGGGGTCGAGAGTGTACGAGGCTGTAGCGGCGGGAGCGGGAACAGCGACGGCGGCAGTGCTGGTGAGGTCGAAAGCGGCGTTGTTGTCGATTGGCTCGGGCATGTCGTTGTCCGAGTTGTCGGCAGGAGATTGAGGAGTGGGCTTGTTCTCAACTTCTACCTCTTTGATCCAGTTTTGCTTCAGGTACTCCATAGGAGGGTGATCACCACCACCAATACCGCCACGCTTTTCGTCACTGCGACCCTTCCTGCCCCGCTTGCGAGGATGGAAGTGGGCACGGCGAAGATGGGCAGCGGCATTGTAGTAGGCACCGTATACCTTCTTGTTACGGCAGTGTTTGCAGTTGGCAAGAAACTTCTGGTCCGCTGACGAGTCGACGCAGATGTAGCCCTTCCTACGCGAGGCATGGGCACGAGCAATATGACGATCGAGTTCGTGAGTGCCACGGAACCCATCGGGTCGCTCATTGCAAAAGTTACACTTGATCTTTGGGTGCTGGGGTCGCACATAGGGCGTTTTAGCTATGACACCAACAGTTTTGGACGAGCCATCCTCGGACCGAATCCTTGTCATCTGAGCATTGGACGACGCAGACTCGGTCTCATCGAGGTTGTCAATTGCTTTTGGAGCAATCTTGCGAGACGCAGCTTGTGCGATGATCTCGCGCTCGCGTTGCGACTGGCGAGAGTTTGTCGATGAGGATGCAGACACCTCGCTCGAGTTACCCAGGCTAGACGCGGCTGAAGTCGACCTCCGCATATCCTCCGCCAGGCACGACTGGTCGTTGTTGTTGAAGAGGGTCATGTCGGAAGAGGCAAGTGCAGGCACACTTGCGGGAAGCGAAGAAGAACAAGACAAAGAAGCAGAAGAAGGAGAAAGGAAAGCTTCACTGGAGGAGCCAGTGAAGGAGAGAAAAGGAGACACACCAGCGGACTCGCTGATGGGTTTTGATTCGACATCAAAGGAATAAGGAAAAGTCCCATCCTCTGAGAGGATGGGCATGGTACATGAGGAGTCAGACTGAACACGCAACATGGAAACTTGATCAAAAAACAGAGGGTTGTAACTACCCTGACGACTCATGTTACTGGATTGAGTAACAGGCGTCATCAGAGCAGTTGACGGGGTTTGGGGCGAAGAGACATCCGACGATGAGCTCCACTGTGGGGTAGGTGTCAGTTGCAACTGTTGCGAATGCTGGGGAAAGGGGAAGGTGGAGGCGTCATGGGGCTGAATGCAGCTGCTGACGTAGTCGTCAACGCTGTACTCGGCGATGGCACCATTGCAGTCAATTTCTGGCAGCGAGTGCAGGCTGGGCTGCCTCTGCATAGACGAGTCTGAGTAGAGGGTGTAGTCGGTGTAGGCACCGGTTGAGGGGTCGTTCATGGCCGAATCTGAGCGGTTCATGACCGGGGCCGAGACAGACATCTGGGGAGCGTGTTAGAGCGGGGGCAAGAGGCGCAGACCAAACAAGATCCATACTGAGAATTGGGTCACGTCTGATGCGGGGCAGGGCATTGAGCGTGGTATTTGTTCGGCCGCAGAGGCTGATGTGGGCTGGCAGGCGAGCTGGAACCAGGCGTGATTCCGCTCCTCCTCGGTGAGGTGGGCGTTGCTCATCCAGAAGTTGCGCTTGGCCTGCTGGAGGAAGTCGACGTAGGTGTTGCCATTACTACTACTGCTACTACTACTAGCGGACAAGGTTGAAGCCATGAGCGGTGGTAGTGGTGGTGGTGGTGGTGGTGGTGAGGATAGAGTTTTGGTGGTAGCGTGGAGTGACGTTGTTTGGTGGGCTATAGCACAGCAATTAGCACTGACCAAACGAGGAAGGAGCCAAGGGCGTGAGTGCAGCACAACTTACAGCTTGTGGTGGTTTACAAAGGCAGGAGCGTTGGACGAGCTTTGAGTGAGCTTTGTGCAGGTAGTATATATGTAAATGTGAAGATGTGGCTATGTATGCAAAGTATGTGAGACGGGATGGATGATCAAATGGTGAAAACGAGCGGGTTGCGTCGGGGGGGAGTCGGAGCCTTTTAGCATGGCGTGGCGCACATGCACACGGGGGACGAGCGATGCGCTGGCTCGCGTCGGCGACAGTCTGACGCCTGCGGCCCGCGCTGAGCTGTGGGCAAAAGGACCAGGGCAGCGCTCAGAATGGCAACGTGCCGTGGTGATCATGGCCCCGTACACTCTCCCATTATTGGATACGACCTGCCCATCCACGCCCTCATTTGCTGCCTCGCGCTGGCGAGCCTGTCAAGGCCCTGCAACACACAAGCAGGCCCTTCCCCAGCGTCCATCCAGCGTGCATTCAGCCTACAGCCCGTCGGCGCCCTATCGTGTATCCGCACTGGGCAAAAGGCAAGGCACATGTCCTGCATGAGGTCGCATCTGGCAGCCTGTGCGGTCAGTGGCAGCGCCATCCACCGCACCCTGTGGCCCTGGCGTCCAACCCACGTCGCCCATCTTCCCCGATGCGACATCACCAGCCCACCACATCGTCGTCATTCCATCCTCCTCTGCGAATCGCGGAAACGGCGGATCGCCCTCAATCTTCTTGTCTTCGTTAGCAGCCCTCAGCCGCCAATGGTCCAGACACGTCCATGGACCGCAACTTTGGCAATGCTCTGCAAACCACCACGTCCC